AATCGCGTCGTTATCATTACTTCACTTCCCATTTACAACACTTGTACTGGTCATCAAACCTTAAAGATGAGGATGAAAAAGGAATTAAGTGCATGAAACAATGACTTCCAACACTTTTTCCACCACTTTACAAAGAGTGAAGTGAAAGAAAACTATAACCCTTAAGATTGAAATCAAAACAGAGGAAAACAGTACAATTTAAGGACGAAACATAATAGTATATTCAAGAACCTGTGAAAAAAAAAACGATAAAAAAACTATGTTCTATATAGACGTCTTCCAAGCACATCAAAGATTAAAAAACTCGAAGGTACAATACACAGAAAATTACAGAACGTTTTCTGCAATTCTTCTTTCTCCAGTAATACAAAAATGCTCAGAACGCGTACTGCCACTCAATTAGGTCCGTCTTTAACAAGAAAGTTGCATTGAAAAAGCGCCCTCGTGAGCCACTGTGCATACACTCCTGCGTTAAGTGAAAATCGTTTATAAGGTGCAATTTCTAACAGACGTCGTTATAACTGAACAAAAACATATAGCCAGTTCCACAAAGTGTACTATACTTCAATCTTTCCAAGCGATTTACAAGTGTTCAACCGCTGGCGACAGGCAACTCAAACTAGGGTTTAATTTAATACCGTGCAAGATTTTCATGTATAGGCAGGCCAAAATAAAATCCATTTTTCCCTTCGGCATCCAGTTAAACTACTTCAGTAAAGAAAATTCTCCAAACGATACTCGCCTTTCACCAAGCTCAGCAGTCGCTGTTAACAGATACCTTCAAATTTCGTTTTATAAATCCCGTCTCTGTGCTATAGCAGTTAAGCGTGCCCATCGTTAAATACATTTTCTTTCACTGTTAACCATCCTTCACTTTTTATAAGATTTTCGATCCTGCTTGATCCATGTGCAAAAACTCGGAGTTATCTAGGTATTTTTTTAAAAGTACTTAATAATCTAGTGCTAAAGAGTCACTTCAGCTCTTGTAGCATTCCGTAATACTAATTTAAGGGTGGCGCCAGGCGCACTGGATAATCACGTTTCTTAACCGCATATCCACAGATAATGCCGCCAAAGATTCATAATTCATACAGTCCTCTTTTTTACACGTTTCTCTAATATTTTCTGGTCGAATTAAAAGTGTCTGTGTAGTTACTTTAGCGGCGAAAACGAGATTTACCCAGTCAACTACTGTATAAAGTGGCCGAAGAAATTTCGAGGAAAAGTTTCCCAAAATGTGCATAAAACATTTACCAAAACAATCTTATCTATTCCTCTCATATTCCACGTAGCATTTGCGAAAACCACATGAAACACAGAATTAAGAGCAATTTCGAATTCAACAATCCTCTTTATTAGAAGATGTGCGTCATAAAACAGTCGTACAATATACTGTTACATTATATCAACAGTAATGGGAAGAGAGCAAGAGTTAAACTCCATTCGGAAACTAGTCCGGACTTTTTACAGTTATGACACTGAAGTTACCATTCATTACATTACGCTCCATTGGGAAACTAAGTGTTGTAAAAAACCATAAAAACCAAGAAGATACTTTGGCACTGAGTTACTTAATAATTGAAAAAAAAATTTTTTGAAATTTCTACGGATGAATTAAGTACGACTGATGACCTTACATTTTAAAAAAAGAAAAAAAAAGTAAATAATCAATAATCGCAGCTTAGCGGTGAAAAAGAAAAGATGTTTTGCGTTGAAACAGTTACCTGCAATAACTCCCAACAATTTTTTACAGGAAAAACAATGTAAAAAATATATCGACAAATAACATCGCTCTAATCGCCAACAACGCAAACAAAAAAAAACCCCCCTCCCCTCAAAATAACGCCGAGAAATTATGAAACTTTAAAATATGGCGAGAAAAAAATCATAACATAACACTTGCCAGGTGAAATTGGTACTAAAAATGCAATACCAAAATTGAGCGAACAGATGACAGAAATATATATATTCGAAGAATACATTTAATTAAAAACGCTTGACAATTCCTCAGACACGGAGCATATAACAAGCAACAAAGTCACGCATTACAAGAAAGAAAAGGACAAAAAAAAGAAGGAAACCAGTGGAAATACTTCAGCAGACAGTGCAAATATGCTCCAAGTCGCACGCAAACAAAATGCCTCTCGGTAGTAGCAGCAGCTGTAGCAGCAACATCGGCAACAAGCGCAACCGTTGATC